ATACGAGATAGATTTTGCAACGCGCGTCGCATAGCGGTAAACGAACGAACTAGTGATTACCGAATATTGCAATGTTATTGGAATGTTGCTGTCACATTCTCATGAAATATTACAATTACAGGTTGCAATAATGTCTCAACAATATTACATTGCAACTTGCAAGATTGTAACATTGCTGCAATGTAATTGCAATGTTCTGTGCTGTATGGGAAACTTTAAATTTTTTTATTGTTATTTATGAAAAATATACGTGTATATGCTACATTTATTTAAACTTATTTTTATTTAAAGTGCATTCGCTTTAAAAGCTTACGTGCTATGAGCATCAACTATTTCATGTGTTCGTAATTTGCATGTATCTATAAAATATATATTGTTGATTTTATTTCCCAACAATGAATGAGAGTGTGGACATGAAAGAGAGGAAAAATATATCTTTTTCTCTTTCTCATTATGGAAGCATCTGTCGTTATGCGATTGTGTTGTTGTTGTGTATATATGCATATCGCTCAATGCTTCTATGCCGAGAGAGAAAATATGATATGTCTGCACCGTGATTTTGCACCACGGCTTTTCAGGCAATATCAGCAGTACATACTTTATAGGTATACTTTATAGGTATATTATATGGTATACTGTGATATAACTATACTCTGTCCAGCGAGAGAGTAGTTTCGGTCTGCGCATAGGAGAAGTATAGCGGGCAAAGTGGAGGGAGCGTTGGCATTGATAAGCTGCACGAGTAATACAGTTCTGTGGAGTGGTGGGGTTTTCTGAGCGTTCTGTGTGAGGCAGCGTTACCAATTCTTGTCTTGGGTGCGTGGAAACCCAGAACGAGAATTGATAACGCTGATGTGGGGCAACCTCCTCATCGCCGAACGATGAGTTGTCGTCCGATCCGAAACTACCCTCTCGCTGGACAGAGTATAGTATCCCGAGCAGACGCGGATTTATGTATTTGCCGCTTGGGGCTAAAAAGTAGCTGCCGCTCCTTATGTAAAGGTCTATGTCTACGATGTTGGAAATCGGTCCGAGAAATGTATAATCAACTTGCAGTTTTCATGGAAAAACGGCAATTTTATTGGCTATATGTCAGGGTTGGGAAGTAACTCGTTACTTGTAACGAAGTTACAGTTAGTTTTTTTTTTCGGTAACTATAACTTAACTTCGTTCCTTTTTCTTCATCTATAACTGTAACTTAATTTAGTTACACATTTATGGTAACTAGTAACTAATTTAACAGTTAATTTAATATTCTATATACGGTTGTATTAATTGTAAGAATTAGGGCCTATCCAGACAAACTTGCATAGTCGCATAAACATATGCATAAGGAATGGAACAAAATTGTCATAGAATTTGTCATATTAAGTGTAGATTCGATATTTGTTACATAAATAGACGAATAAACGTCTAGATATTAACAGGGTTGGGAAGTAACGCGTTACTTGTAACGCCGTTACCGTTACAATTACTTTTTTTCGGTAACTGTAACGATAATGGCGTTACAAATTTTTTTTGTAACGAAAAAAGTAACTTTGTTACATTTTTCGGTAACGAGTAACGAATTTAACAGTTACTTTTATCGTTACATTTTCTAAATTTACTGTATATATATCTACGAATTTATAGAAAAATTAACAATAAGAAACTTTTAATTATATTACAGCATCTAAAAATTTTTAAGAAAGACTTGTTTAC